GATTTAACTGCTACCTGTGATTGTGTCCTGGCTGCTCTGCTTCTTATCCAGCTCCCTGTAACGTGTCTGGGAAAGTAGTGGAGGATATGTTGCAAACACATGAGAGACCTGGAAGAAGCTCCTGCCTCGGCCTGGCCCAGCCCCAGCCATTGTAACCATCTGGGGAGTGAAGCAGCAGATGGAAGGTCCCTCTGTCTCTCCTTCTCTCTATGTAACTCTGCCTTTCAAATACATAAATAAGTCTTTTAAAAAATTGGTGAGTACATTTTTGTACTTGAAAAAAAGAATGGATTTGGATAGTCACATGGCATTTCACAAAAGCTAACTTAAGTAAGCCACCTCCTGTCAGCATCACGAGGACTTTTTGAAGAAAAACAGAGCCTTCATGGATGGCAGTCTCTAAGTATTACAGCTGTTTAACTTTTTCAAAAGTTCAATGTCTTGATTTTATAATTTGCAGCAGTTTCTCTTTCAAACGTCTATTCCCTTAATGATACCAAACACTTCTATTAACTTTCTTTAGATTTTGGTCAAAATAAGAATAAACATATAAAAAAATGATATCTGTGTGGCTTATGAAGAAACCACTAACTCCAAGATATGAGACAATAAACTGAGGGATTAAGGGCCACTCTGACTTTAGGAGGAGTCCCTATCCATGGTGGGAGCAAAAGGTTATTTTTGAACTCCACTAGATATTTTTGTGTTTAATGTTTTTCATATGTATCAGGATTCTTAAGTCTTTTTTTTATCCTCTAGCCATTTTCTGACTTATTTTCTTGCTTGCTCAGCAAGGATGCTGAGATAGTGTGGAGGTTCCATCTAAGGCCATCGGGTCTCAGTGTATCTTTTTGTCTTTCAAATGCTGGTGTTATTTCAGATGATGACTTTGCAGGTTCATCTCAATCTTTCATCACTGGGCAGCACCATCAGCAAGAGCAGTGGACACTCTGTTCTTAGATTTTATTCAGACTCTTTTAATTCATGGTAGGCAAATGTAAACATTGGATTAAAGATATAATTATTTTATGAAAACATTTTCACTCCAGATCATCTGGTCTGACAGCCCTATACTTTGCTTCACAAAAGAGGACTTGCTTCTGAGTATGAGTTAGGGAATTCTGTTCCTGTAATTTATGACATATTTTATTGTTAGGACTATGCTCTTGTGAGATCAAACACTTGTCATAAATCACACAAAAAATAAATTGAGAAACTTCTCTACTGTATGATAGAAATCCTTTATTTTTTAGTGGTTGTCCGTATTATATTTCTTCCATGTAAAGGGTAATATTTAAAGAAAAAATTGAAGACCACTATCCTTATACCTCTGGTTCTGAGGTTTTTACTTTTTGACTGGGAATTTTATGATCTGCTCTTCTCTGAGGCACAACTTTTATATCTGGGATGCAGACTTGTGCATCTCCTGTCGATTTGCCCAACTTGTTAACTTTACTGCATGTTCCACTAGAGCTTATGTGGGAAAATAAAATCATTCATTTATTTCCAGGTTTTCTCTGCTGTTTCTGAACAAGTTCCCAGTTGGTTCTCTTGACTTTTCTGGGGCTAGGATGGACTCCTGGCTCGTGCCTTGGGGCAAAAAAGAACCACGCCTATTGGTGCCTGCTGTGACTTGGGGATTTGGGATATTTCCCCCATCACTCTTTTCAGCTGTGCATGTATGACGGGCTCATGCACATGCATTACAGGCATGCACACATCTTTGAGAGATACATGCACATGTATTGACAAAGGGAGTCCTGCTCTTTGGGATGCTGGTTGTAGCTGCTCTGATTTGGATTTGCAAGGTGCACTCCCAAGAAGCTGGCTGGGTCTCTAGGTCTGCAGTGAAGAGAACTGTGGTGGTGATTAGACCAGCAGAGGTCCACATGTTTCTTCATATGTTCCTGTAGTCCTAACCACATTCGTGCCAGGGGCCCACCAGACCAGGGGTGAGAAAGCGCTTGAGGTGTGGTGGGGCTCATGAGAGACACTGAACATGGATTGCTGATGTCTATTGTGGGCAAAGAGTTGAGGGGTGGCACCATTCCTGCCTCTTGCTTGCTATTTCTTGGTTAGACCCTTCTGGATCAAACATATGCTTCCTCAAATCTAGCACTGAAATTTTATGTAATGGGCATAGTCTGTCATTCACACCTGCTTATGAAACAGGGTGAGAGTGAGAGAGCTACTTTATATTAAATGTTAATTTATCACCTTTTTGGCAATTTACAACTCGGCTTTGCTGACAGAATTAGTTTTTAGCAGATTGTACACAAAGAGACTGATCTTTTGATTCCCTCCCCCTTGTCCCCCCACCCCGAGAAAATTCTGAACATTGTTGGAATAGATAGAACTAGGATTTAAGGAGCCAGTGAAACAGAGAATCTCGTCTTATTTGGGAGCCATTTAGGAGATAGAGAATCAAGCAGAGCATTGTGTAGAGCTGAAAGATAGGGGAAGGGCAAGTCCTTAGAGATGGGTTTAGTAGGGACTGCCCACAGCCTGGTATAAAACTGAGAAAGAATGTGGTTGGGAACCTTCCCTCCCACCTCCCAGACTTAGAGCAGAAAGACAGCTCTGTGTCCAGGAAGTGTGTTCAGATCTGGCTTGGTTTTCCCTGATGTCGATTCCTTTACTGGATGACTCTCCCTTGCGGAGTGCTCTGGTGACCCCTACTCCCTTCCCATGTGGCACTTCCTGCAGGTCTGAGCTATGTATTTGTTCAGGTCCTTGATGACTGCGCATCTCCCTCTCTAGCCCGTAAACTCCATGGAGGGTAGGGCGTGTGGTATCTCTCTTCCAACCAAATTGGCCTGGCTTCCTGCTATAGTGCCTGACACACAGTTGTGGGTGAAAAATATTTCAGTTAGATTTTTATATTCACTGAACAAGCAAATGGATTTTCTAAGCATAGCTTCTGAGTGCCCCAAAGAACAGAATGGTTTCCTGGTTGGATCAAAATCCAAAGGAGGCAGTGGCAGAGGCCTCTGGAATGATGTTTCTGCACTGCTGTGGATGAGTGACGATGTTGAGTCTCGCTTCCTGCCTCCCCTTCCTTTGTATTCATTTGCCTGCTCACTGCCATGCTTCTCCGGGATCCTAGGGCCACATCCACTTGTACTCAAGCACTCACCGTCCACCTCCATCAGTCCCCTCTCCCACCTCTCCTTTGTTAGTGCAAACTCCTCCCTCTCACGAAGTCTTAGCCTTGCCCACCTCACTCAGTTAACACACTACCTGGGCCAAAGTGTCTCACACAGGGCCGCCCCAAACTCTAAAATATTACAACAAAGAAAGGGAGGCCTCAGTGCGTCTCCCTTATTCCACCTGACTTTCCTCTGCAGCATCTGACACTTGTCCGCCTCAGACATGTTTGAGATTCTCGGATGGCAGATCGCCACTCGGAGTTCCTCTCCTGACCCCCCCATCCCCCCTCCACTTCTTCCCTCTCCATTTCCTCTGGGTCCTTCCGTTGCTCTTCTCATACTTTCTCTCGTCTTCTTCCTGTCTCTTGGCCCCCCTGCTTTCTCTGGGCGGCCATTTGTTTCTCAGCTGCAGCACATGTATTCCTGACTCCCAGATCTAGCTCTCCTATCCTGAGCTCTTCTACAATTCCAAACCCTTACTTGTCAACTGTCAAGTACAGGTTCTCAGTAATTCTTGGTTTTGTTTTTGCTATAGTCTCCCAAATGTTGTGTTTATAGCAGGTGTTTCATCGCTTCAGTTCAACGTCTGTATTGCTACCAGAGTTGTTGGCCTGATGAACTACAACTGAGCATACCCTGTCCCCTTTTAAATGCCAGGGCTGCAGGTAAATCACCACGTTCCGCATGACTGTACATTAGTGCTCACTGTGTGCTGGGTACCGTTCTAGCTGCTTCCTGTGTTCATTCCTTCATGCCTCACAAGCACTCTGTGAAGTAGGTACTGATGGGTCTCTGGTGTACAGGTGGGGAAACTGGTGCCCAACGAATGTGCCCTGTGTTCAGGGTCACACAATGTCCATCCTTCTCCGCTCGGCTCCAGAGCCCTCCATGCTGTGCGCAGCCTCCTCTGTGCTCCAGTCGCAGCAGGAGCACGGTCCTGTTTCTCAGCACTCCCTCCTCCTTCTGATGCCCTGCCTGCGATGGTGTTAACCCTTCACTTCCCTGGTTAACTCACACTCATCCATCAGGACCCTGTGCCCAAGCTATTTTCTCTGGGGGAACCAAAACCTTCTGGGCGGAGTTGGCCACTCCCGTCTCTGTGACCCCTGCCCTGTCACAGGACATTCCGGCTTTATTGTACCGTGGGTGTTTCTTATACCTGTGTCCTCTACAAGAGTGATAAAGTACCCCTCCTTCATCTCTGTTTCTTAGCCTTTAGCAGACTTACACTGCCTTATACTCAGTTACCAAAAAAAGTTTGTTGAAGCACCCAATTAAGCAGCAGCTCTGTCAGGTCAGCGGCCATGTTTTTCTTGTTTGAAGCAGAGTACCCAGCCTCTGGCATAAACGCATCAGGAATGCTCTGCTGATATTCAGATGAAAACTGAACTGAACACCGCGGGTTCCGTACAGTTCAGCCAAGCAGAGCTTCCTGTATTTCACTGCTCATTGGTAGGCAGCCGTCTCAGCAGCCTCAACTTGGCATCTCTAGGTTTTAATAATTTTTTTTATTCACTTACAGTTAAGGGATAAGTGGTCTTGGTTTGTGACTCTACTTAAAAAAATCTGAAAATTATATTTAGAGCATAAATGACTAAGAACATATCTCAATTAGATTTTGTATCACTGTCTGTTTATAATTTAAATATCCCTATTTTTAGTTTGAAGAGATATTGAGTTATTACCTATGTTCACTAAGATTGAAAAATAAGGCTACATGCTATTTTACAAGTATTGATATATTAGAATTAGTTAAGGAAAAGATTTCTTATCATTGAGAGCAAAGAGGGGAGAGGGGAGGTAAGGGGAAGCCTCCTGGTGGATGAGGCTGCCTTGGCCCGGGACCCTTACCTGCTGGCCTGGCTTGATGGGGGAGAGCGTGATGCCCTGGGTGTTGATCACAGGCAGGATCTGGTTGCCGATGACTGTGGCGATGATCTGGCCCTGGGCGTTTGTCAGGAGCTGGGGGGTGATTGGCTGCACTTGAAGGCCCTGAGTGCCACTCGCTGCTTGGCTTGATGGCCCCGGATTAGGCATCAGTGGAATGGTCCCAATAATCTGCAAGACACAAGCCCAGCGGTGAGCATCTGGGCTCCTCAGGGTTTGCACATGCACCTGCAACCGCACAGTGCCCTGATGGCCACAGGATGCAACCCTGAACTGATGCATGGTCCATGAGGTCAGGTAGGAGCAGGAGAAAGGGCAGGGAGTAAACATGGAAGGAAGAGAGAAGTATACATGACGTAGTTCATTGAAGGAAAGCAATAGCTTCTAATTTAAAACAAAAATCAAGCATTGGTAAATGCATGAACACACAATTTCTGCCAGGGCAGTGCAGATGTGTTGGAGCCTTGGCGACTCTGCTTCTGATACAGCTTCCTGTTAATGTGACTGAGAAGGCAGTGGAAGGTGGCCCGAGTTCTTTGGCCCCTGCCACTTGTATGGGTGACCCAGATGGAGTTCCTGGCTTTAGGATTTAGCCTGATGCAGACCTGGCTGTTGTAGCCATTTGGGGAGTGAACCACCAGAGGCAGGATCTCGCTATCTCTGTTTTTGCTTCTCTCTCCTCCTCTGTGTAGCTCTGCCTTTCAAATAAACATTAAGTGTAACATAAATGAGCAAAGTTGACATTGAGATTTCATTTTTTATAGCCTTGTCTATATTCTTGAGGAACAGTGATTTTTCTACTTACTGCTTGTTGAATTTTTTACTTAGTAGAGGATTAAGCTTGTGTTTATAAAGAAAACTAAAATTTGTCATTGGGCCAGTGCTGTGGCATAGCGGGTAAAACCTCTGCTTGCAGTGCAGGCCCGCTTTTGGGCACTGGTTCTAGTCCCAGCTGCTCCACTTCCAGTCCAGCTCTCTGCTATGGCCTGGGAAAGCAGTAGAAGATGACCCAAGTCCTTGGACCCCTGTGTCTGTGGCAGACCTAGAAGAGTCTCTTGGCTTTGGATTGGCCCAGCTCTGGCCGTTGCAGCCATCTGGGGAGTGGACCAGTGAATGGAAGACCTCTTTCTGCCTCTGCCTCTCTGTAGCTCTGCCATTCAAATAAATAAACAAATCTTTAGAGAAAAAAGCAAAAAAAGAAAGTATGTCATTGTAAAATTAAAATGGGGGAGGGGGTAGGGTAGGAAGCATTATGCTCTTAAAATCATATTTATGAAATACATGAGATTTGTTCCCCTTATAGAAATTCTAAAAAAATTGAAAAAAGACCCAGAGAGGATGCACTTCCCAGGACACTCAAGGTCCTGGCCTGCCTGGGAACCTACATCCTCCCCCGTGGGGCTCCACACACCCTGAGCTCCAGGGGCTTCTCCAACGCCACCTGCTGCTTCCACCCATTCCTGCGCCACCTTCCCTTCGCTGGCATCCTGCTCTTCTTCCGAGGTCAGGGGTGACTCCCTGACACCCCCAGCAGGATTAGGTGCCTCAAGCACCCTGATTGCTTCTCCCACCAAGATGATGGTGGGACTTAATCCCCACGATGAGGTTTTTTTTTTCTTTTTTGACAGGCAGAGTGGACAGTGAGACAGAGAGAAAGGTCTTCCTTTGCCGTTGGTTCACCCTCCAATGGCCGCTGCGGCCGGCGGGCTGCGTCCGGCACACCACGCTGATCTGAAGGCAGGAGCCAGGTGCTTCTCCTGTTCTCCCATGGGGTGCAGGGCCCAAGCACTTGGGCCATCCTCCACTGCACTCCCTGGCCATAGCAGAGAGCTGGCCTGGAAGAAGGGCAACCGGGACAGACCGAGACAGAATCCAGTGCCCCGACTGGGACTAGAACCCGGTGTGCCGGCACCGCAAGGTGGAGGATTAGCCTAGTGAGCCGTGGCGCTGGCCCACGATGAGGTTTTAAGAGGTGGGGTCTATGGGAGACAATTCGGGTTAACTGAGTTCGTAAGGATGGGGCCCTCATCCAAGGGGCCTGTGGCTTTATAAGAAGAGGACAGACCTGAGTCAGGATGCTCTGCCTTGCCACATGGTACCCTGTGCTGCCTTGGGACTCCGCAGGGAGGCCCCACCAGCTGGAAGGATTTCAACACATGCAGCCTTCCAGTCTTGAACCTGGAAATCTTCCGAGCCATGAGTCAAGCAAACCTTTATTTTCTATGGAGGACTCAGGCACGGTATTCAGTTACAGCAACAGGAAATGCACTAAGCCATTGGTGGTCCTGGTGGTTGAGATCCCGCTCTGGAGACAAGAGACCAGGTGTCATTTCCAGCTCTGCCACCTGCTGGTTGTGTCATGGTAGTCAAGAGACCTAAGCTTTCCAAAGACTTGTGTTTGAGACTCTTAAAGTAGGGGTGCAATGAATACAAAGGATTGAAATTGGGGGGAAAATGTGCAATTTATTTATTTATTTTGAGAGAGGGAGCATGATGCAAGCTTCCCCCATCAGCTGGTTCATTCCCCAAATGCCCTCAACAGCTAGGGTTGGGAGCTGGAAACTCAATCCAGGCCTCTCATGTGGGTGGCAGAGACTTGATTACTTGATCCACCTCTGCTTCCTCCCATAGCCTACCTTTGCAGGAATGCTGGAATTAGGAGCTCGAACTGGAGATCAAACCTAGCACTCACATGTGGGAGGTGGTCATCCTCAGTGCTAAGCTAACCACCTGCTCCAAAACTGTATATTTTCAATGATGTCCTTTAAACTGATGCCTGAAGGTTAGGGGTTCAGGGTATCTGTAACAGGTGACAAGAAAGGCTCTCTTCACACCTGGTGGCCACTGGCTTCAGTGACTGGCTCATGGGGACTGCTCAAGGGACTGCTCATGGGGACTGCCCCCAGGAGGGCCCTGGCTGGGGAGGAAGGGGCCATGAACAGGAGCAGCAAATTTTCAGGGTGTGTGTGGAACCTGGAGATACAGACCGTACTCATTCACTGATAGGGACAGACTTTATCTGTAAAAATCAGAACTAAGACGTGTTTCCATGCTGTGGGCTCTTCTCAAGGGAGTCACGGAGCCTGCTGTGTGGATGCCCTTTCTCCTCCACACGTCATAGGTGTGGTGATGCAACTCCACTTACTAGTTGTCTTCCAGGGCTGCTTTCTAGCTGTGAACCACAGTGACCTGGCATGGGGGCCACAAGACACAGTAATAATCATATCTGGAGGTGTTTTCATGCATGTGATGTCATTCCATTCAACTCCATGAATTGGGTTTAGCCATGTCTCCACCAGAAACCAGGGTACTGCAAAAAGTGTGTAGAAAAATGGAAGATACATTTAGATTTGGTCTAGTGGTTAGGATGCCTGTGTCCTCTATCAGAGTGCCTGGACTGGGTACCTGCCCCTAGCTCCTTACGTCAGCTTCCTGCTAATGCAGATCCTGGGAGGTCAGTGGTGGCTTAAGTAATTGGATCCCTGCCACCCATGGGGGGGACCTGGGTTGGGCTCCTGGCTCCTGGCTTTGGTCCTGGCCCAATTGTGGCAGTCACTGGCATTTTGGGGAGTAAACCAGTGGATGGGAGCACGTGCTCATGCTGACGTGCGTGCGCTCTCTCTCTCTCTCCCCTTTCCTTTTGAGTACAGAGTTTTAAAAAGTATTTAAAAATTAGTTTATTGTATTACAAAATTCTCTTTGAAATCCATGAATAGTTTTTCATAATATTCATTCCCATGAGCTTTCTCAAGGCCCCTGAGAGATGAGCCGGGGAGGTAAAGTAATGAGCGAGGTCACTTGATGGAGAGGATTGTGGGTGACAGAGCTGGCCCCCAAGTGCTTGCTTTTCCCTATCGTCCCCTGACTCTCACTGCCTGAAAGATATGAGAGGGATGGTGCCAGCTCTTACAAAATGCATAGCATCCAGCATCCTGCTTGTAGTTTCCCACCAGACAGTAAGCTGCTCGTGGATGAGGTTCATAAATAATCCCATTTTCTACCCCCACAGAACCCCAAATGAGGCCTTGCAGGTAGTTTCTCAGTAAATGTTGTATTTTTTCAGTGAATGGATTCTGGACTCAGCTATTACTGGGAGTGCAGGTGCACCTGGGACTGCTGTAAGACCATGCCCCTCAGGGCCAGACCCTGCTGGAGAAAGTCCTCACCCCCACCCCTCCCCACCTGGCCATTGCTTCCACCACAGGCGCCCCTGTGGGATGGCACTAATGGAGGGCTTGTACGAATATCAAGTATCAGTGGCAATTGTCAATGGATGCTGATTAAGGTCAAGTAATCACTGCCAGAGTGGTCAGCTGTCCCTTGGGGAGCTTGCAGGCCTACAGTCTCCCTGAGCAAGGCTGCACCATATCAGCAATGAACATGTCCCCTCAGTGCAAGCAAGGTCAGGAGGAGTCCACATCAATAGATCAGAGTGCCTAAGTACTTAATTGATGAGTGGACTTGCATTAAACAGCCTAGGACTCAAAGGCTCATTCCTGTGACCCCCACAGGCAATATAAAAAAGGCCTGGGGAGCAGGCCTCCAATCCCAGAGTCCATCAGATTATTTACCTTTCCACACATGCACAGTGGAAACTTGGCAACCCACTCACCACGCTGGCTTCCCCCTGCGACTCAGACCTCCACTGCCCTGCAGCATCTGATTGGCCTGAGCTGAAGGCCTGTGGAAGCAGGTGCATTTTAGGAGCTGGTGGGAGTTCGTAGCCTGAGAGAATGCTTCAGAGTGAGGTGTAGCCCATGACAGTTCCAGAACACACTGTGATGTAGATTGAGGCATTTTGCCCCAGAAGATTGACATGAGTCTGTGCTGCTTCCATAGTAACGAGAGCCATTGCCAGCTTCCTGCATAGAAAGAGGAAAAGCGCAAATGCAAAAGGCTCACCAACCTCTACCTTAGCACAGCCTTCCTTCTTCACACTGAGCCTGACGTTACTAAAACATGGGCCACTTATGTCTCTCCCTACCTCTCTCCTCTTCTTCCTGAAGCCTGAGCATCGCTCTTCAAGGATAGGACAACAGGAGTGTCAAAGCCAGAGGAGTCTGTGATGGCTCCGCTGAAGGAGCCCTTCCATCAAGAGAGTTTGTATACAAAGTGAGAGGCAGGGGCAGGAGCGGTTCCAGCCGGGATGCCTTCTGTGAAGTTCTGTGTTT